ATGTTCTGGACAGAAGGCTTCACCCAAGGCTGAGCTCGGGTTTAAGATAGCACAGGGCACACTGAGCCCTTCCTGAGGATGTTTGGTCTCTGCCCAGCAGAACTCCTGAACTGAGCTGGAATATCAGGCTCCAGGAATTACAAACATGTGGACTRAGGGGTACAGGCGGATGCACAGAGGGTACAGAAAGTGTAAAAAGGAAAAGCAAAAATCATCAGGCATCAGGGGGAATAAGGGTTTGTGCCTCAGGAGGATGCTCTGGGCTCGCTGAGATTATTCAGATTTTTTTTTTGCAGAAGCAGAGGTGATCCCACCATGCAAAATCGTGTTGTRAGAAGAGAAAAGCTGATGAGAGGATGTGCTCAGCTCCTCCCTGGACTCTGCTCTGCTGGGTCTCAGCCATCCTGGGTTTGGATGTGCACAATTCAGGGGGCTGGGACCCAGCAGACAAAAACAGGGTCCACAATCCTTTCCTGGAGATCGTTTGAAAAGCAGAACTCCATGTGAGGGAGGGAGAAKGGCAATAAAGATGTGACATCTGCAACAGAACCATGACTGCTGCAAATCTCTCTGTGCAGTTATTCGTACCTGCAGCACTGCTGGGAATGAAGCTGCAATCCCAATTTGTCCATTCCCAAACTAAAAAAGAGTTGTTCTRTCACTCTGAGATACTGAGAGGAGATTTTAGCACGATTTCATCAGGATCTTKGAGCCCTCTTCCCTCAGACAGAGGAGATTTCCAATCCTTTGCAGTCACAGATGGAGAGCTATCGGTCCTGAAGGGCTTTCACAAACTGAAATCTTTGCACATTCGCAGAACTCAGATGGAGACACCATTCCCATGGAATCTACAGCTGTCCTGCCTGCTTTTTATGGACAAAAAACATCCACAGACATGGCCTGGACAACTCACTTCACCCACGAGGGCTTTCCTCCAAATCCYCAGAGCTGGCTGGCATGGAAATGTCACTGCTGAGGCTCTGAGTTACAGCAATTCCCTATTCCCAGAACTCCTTGTAAAACTTGTGACTGAATTAATGGGAAAAGGTAATTTTCTTAAYACAGCACCCGTGTCCTGCAGAAGCAAGTTCCCTTGCAATGTGTTATTCTGCACAGAATTCTCAAGTTCATCCACCTTAAGCAAATCTGGCTGTTTCAGCTAAAAGTTGTGCAGCCTTGGGCTTTCTCCATCAGATGAGCAGATGATCTTTTTAACACCTCGACTTTCTGCGTTTCAGATCTTCCACTAAATCAATCTCCCTTTCATGATTTGTATTTATTCCAATGCCCAATTCTATTACAACTCTCTCTTATGCTTTCTCAATTTTCTCTATTATTCTTTTTTAGGTCTATAAYATAATTTCAGTGGCTAACTCAGAGGCTGTCACTTCATATTTATGCACTGAAACTTGACTGTGCATCATTACTTCATTTTTACAAAAATCCACGATAACTAATGCAGTGATTCAATTTCTACCAGAGGCTTTCTGTTTGGTTTCCCATCTGGCCTCTAACCTTCATTCCTCCAAACAAACTTCTACATCTTTATTTACATATTGGGATCATTAAAGTTCTTTTTATCTCCCCGTCTCGATGGCTTCAGAAGCTGTAACAGATTTAGGCAGGAGTTTAATTAGAAACTGCTTCTAAAAATTCCTTCCACTCCTGCTCGGGCAGTTTGTTCCCTGCAGCTGTGGGTTCTCCTTTCCCAATGAAGGTGATCACAGAAATCCAGGAATGTGCAATAAAGGAAYATCCACAGACTGACACTCCTGCAGCACTGCAAGTGCCAGGCTGAGCTCAGAGCAGCTCAAACCCTGCGCTCCATTATCCTCTCCCTTTGATTTTTTACTCTGTCACTCCACTGACTTTAGAAGAATTCAACTTCTCCCYGAAGTGCAGCGGTGTAAGGAAGAAAAGGAGCAGCTGTTCAAAGTTTAATGCTTTAAAACACTGTCTGCTCCAGGCTACTGTAAATGCTCTGACACCTCAGCTTTGGTGGAGTCTGTCACATGATTCCAAAGACGTTATTTTGCCACTGATGAAACGGCACTAAGTGTTATTGAAAGATTTATCAGTCTGCAGTGCTATTTTACAAATTGCCAAGTGTGCTGTTCTCCTCTCCAATCCACTGGGAAGTGTYAGAGCAGAGCATCACAGGGTGCTCAGCACGGAAATTTGGGTGCAGCAGCACCTTCCCAGCTCCACAGCATCCTGATAACAGCACAGGGGTTCTCATTTCAGGGTAACCAAAATGCACATTTTCAATCAACTCATCAAACTGAAAGCCCAGAAAACTGGAAAGTGTTGCTTTGGAAACTTCCAGGCTTTGTTGAGCTTTGGGGAAAAAATGGCCATTTTGAAACAGAAATGTCTTTTCAAAATGAAAGATTAAAAGAAGCTGATTTTTCTTCTCTCCTCATTCTTGATTTAAAACATCTTGGGAGTTTATTCCTTATTAATAACTCAGCAAAAATAAAGTCTGCTCACAAATCTCTTTTTTCCCCCGTAAGTTCAGGAAGAGTTTTACCACCTACAAATGGTCAGAACTTTGCAGCACTTTGGARTTTCCACCTGAACTTTTCTGTGTCTCAGCCCTCGTTTGTGAACAGCCTGTGACACAGATCCATGTTTTGGTGGGGGCACTCTGTCATGCCAGACCAACCAATTTCAGATAATCAATCATTTGTCAATCCAAATAACATTTCAATGGACTGCRTTCTGCTCTGACAAATTCGAGTAGGTGCAGTTTGAAATAAAATGAGTCAGTGCAGAGTTTGGACCYGCTCTTTAAAGTTCTTTGAAGTCTCAGATGAAAGAAGTGAGTAATAAATGCAGACCCTGAAACGAAGAGAAGAATGAGGCATCCTCRTTCTGCAAGGAAAATGAGCTCAGCCTCATCATTAATCAACACCAAAAGCCAGGACTAAAAGCTAAGCCACGAAGACACAATCAATCTGTTAGATGCTGCTTGACAGATGCATTGAAAAACAGCAACAGTAAAGACCCARAGAAATGTAATCTTTGCATTTCCATGGGCATCTTAGGCAGATTTTTCTTCCATTTGATATTCACTGCTCTAATACCCAGAGAACAGAAACTGTAATTACTGCTTCGTGCTGAAGGCTGGCCAGTAATTATCWACCTTTATCTTCATTAGAGCCTGTGAACAAGGCTTGGGCTGAAMCAGAGCAGGTAAACTGGAAATTCTGACACATATTTTCAATTAAGAGCTCACTTTAAATCGGGAACTCCTGTTAATCCTGCAGGAACCTCTCTGCTCTGGTCTGGATGGTGACAGCCTGCTTGGCTCTCATTAACACCCTCATTAATKGTGTAAATTCATCAGTAATATTAAACACACACGCATTGATTCAAGCATTCATGTCCTTACAGGCAATGAGTAAAACTTCAGAAATCAAAACTATTTTTTATATGTCTTCCAAATGATCTATTTGCTTTCAAGGTCTTGTTTTTCCAATCCACCAAAAAATAGTAAATGTGTCAGTTAGTAAGGACTTAGTCCAATAACTTCCACAACATAAGGATCCAAATAACTTCCTTCTGTTTTTAAATCCAGATTAAGTCCAACAATTTGCTATATTTGGCAGATTTGCCACATCCCGAAAGGGCTTCAACATTCCTGAACCCACCCAGCCCATGAACTGAAAAGGCAAAGGCAGAGTCAGCTCTGAAAATTCCAAAGTGGGAAGTGTCAGACAGCCCCAAGTGTTTGACAAGGATGGAAAACTGTGATTTTGGGTTTGGTTTGTTGCTTCACTGAAGTGAGCTACAGAGCAATAAGAGCAATAATAAATCTCTGTGTCCCAGCAGTCAGGGAAATGAAAGAACTCGTTCCATGAGACTTCTGCAGGGCTCTGAGCTTACCTTGATGACATCTTCATCTGAGGATCTGCACTCCACAGATTCCACCAGATCGGTCACAGTCCCATCATCTTCCACAGACACCACCTTGACAGGCACAGCCACTGTCTTCCCAGTGAGAATGGCTGTGTTCAGGATCTCTGCTTCCTGAGAAAGACACAGAAAAAACCCTCTAATTAATCTATTCTGCTATTTATCCATTAGTACCACCTAGATTCAGCTTTAAAACAGGCACACTTTATTCAAAGCAATATTTAAAGAAAGAAAAAAACCCTCCTGGTCACTTGAGAGCTGCTCTGCAAAGGCTGCCCCATCCTCACCATGATCTTTAGGGAAAGGAGAAAGAGGATTTCACAGAAAGGGAACTCGAGAGGAAAATCCTCTCCCTCCCTCGGCACAAAAGTCCTTCAGATATTCTGAAATTATAATTCATACCGAGGTGAGAAGATCTGCCTGCACAGTCAGGTCTGCCTTGTGCCACATTTGTTCTCAGTGCAGAACACACTGCTCAGACAGCCGAGTTCTCAGATTTGCAATTCAGTTTCCAGGTAGTTTTTCCCCACATCTGGGCTTTGTACCCAAGCTGTTGTACACAGGTTATTCAGAGTTTCTGCTGCTCCCCTGCAGGCTCACAGACAGAACCAGCCCTATTAAACATCCCCTGTAATTACAGAATCCAGGTGCTCGCTCCCAGWGTYMRTGGTTTTGCAAACACTCGGGCATGRATCTCATTTCATGTGACTCTGAGGCCACASCACCCAGCACGCTGCTCACAGCTCACACCGAGCTCAAAAGAGCTGCTCCCCAAGCAGGAACAGCTCCCTCCCTCCGTGGATCCATCCCAGTGTGACCCTCGCAATTATTTCATAAAGCAAAGGGAAGTTTAATAAGCAAGCCTTTGAAACAGTGTGATTAATGAGGTCTGCTTACCAAAGGCAAATGTAATTTCCCCTGGTAAGAGCCAGGAGCTGAGAATGATTCTCAAAAGCTTCATGAATTTCTTTTGAGCCCCCGAATTTTCCCGTGCCAGCTGTGGATATCTGAGCACAGACAGAGATAATCCACATCCTAACCCTGCCTGTGAGGGGACTGCACGCTCAGCCAGGCTGTGTGACACCTCTGCTGTGCCACTGTCCCTGCCAGGGCACCCCAAATGCAGGGGGAATGGGGCACGGGGTCCTGGGCACACAGCCTGTCCTGCCCAGAGCCCCAATCCATAGGGAATATTCCATGTCCTGGGGCACACAGCCTGTCCTGGGCACCCCAAATGCAGGGGGAATGGGGCACAGGGTCCTGGGCACACAGCCTGTCCTGCCCAGAGCCCCAATCCATAGGGAATTGGGGGCACACAGCCTGTCCTGGGGCACAGGGTCCTGGGGCACTCAACCCATCCTGGGGCACACAGCCTGTCCTGGGTACCCCAATCCAGTGGGAATGCTGAGTATCCTGGGGCACACAGACTGTCCTGGGTATCCCAATCCTCATTAATCACACTGTTTCAAAGGCTTGCTTATTAAACTTCCCTTTGCTTTATGAAATAATGGGAATGGGGCACAGGGTCATGGGGCACACAGCCCATCCTGGGGCACACAGCCTGTCCTGCCCAGAGCCCCAATCCACAGGGAATTGGGGGCACACAGCCCATCCTGGGGCACACAGACTGTCCTGGGCACTGGGTCCGGGGGTACACAGCCTGTCCTGCCCAGACCCTGCACCCTGTCCAGTGTGTGCCAATCCAGCTCATTGCAATCACAGCAACGCCACCCACAGCACACGAGGTGAGCACACGCCCACCTGGCTCTCAGGTAAGGAACCAAACCCATCTCCTCTCCAGCTGAAATCAAAGATTGTGGGTTCCAGGGTTTGTGGATCCGTGGCAGACCCCGTTCAGAACTGAGCACTGCTGCAGTGAGCACCATGGGATAATGCTGCTGCTGCTCCATCATCAAAATCCAAACAATCTCCATCATCAAAATCCAAAACAATCTCAGTGCCCTCCCCGTCCCAAAGGCAGAGGGAGGTGAGGGGACACAAGGAGTGCCTGGAGCTCACTCAGATGGGGTGGATCTGCATCAAGAGCTGCTGCTCAGGGCCAGGAAAGCAAACACAGCCATGGCAGGGTGAGGAGAGCAGGGCAGCCTGGGCTGGGGATGGGCTCCCCTGTCCTGCAGGGACCGAGCTGAGTGTGCTGTGTGTAGAGATTGCAGAGATTGCAGAGATTGCAGAGATTGTACAGATTGCAGAGATTGCAGAGATTGCAGAGATTGCAGAGATTGTACAGATTGCACAGATTGCAGAGATTGCAGAGATTGCACAGATTGTACAGATTGTACAGATTCCACAGATTGTACAGATTGCAGAGATTGCAGAGATTGTACAGATTGCAGAGATTGCAGAGATTGCAGAGATTGCAGGGATTGCAGAGATTGCAGAGATTGTACAGATTGCAGAGATTGCAGAGATTGTACAGATTGCAGAGATTGCAGTAATTGCACAGATTGCAGAGATCTCACAGCCTCACAGACAGCACTCACAGCAGGAGCTCTGTAGGACCTGCTCTCACCTCACCCCAAACACAGAACAACAACACCCCCTGACTCCAAACTGCCCAGCAGGGCATGGGAAATTCTCCTTCAGGCCAAAAAGACCTCAGCAATCCCTGGGGAAAGCRTGTGGAAATTGCTTCATTCTGAGGAAATGAACGTGATACCTGTTYAGCTACACTGAGATTTACAGTTCAGAGTCTCAGCATGTAAATGCTATAAATCTACATAGTTACTAATTTAAAACTGCTGCTTTTTGCTCCTGAAGAAATATGATGTTCTTTATCTATAACTAACACAGATTACAGGAGATAAGATGTCAGGRCACTCCAAAATGGGAATAGTTATGATTTTGCAAAGCTGTAACCAAATAGGCTCACGGTTGATTCCCTCAGCAGCTTTTAAAAAGATGCTGAACTTTCTCTAACTRTTACACAGCATCTCTCTATAATTCACCTACACCAAGAATAAAGTGAAATAATCATCAGAGAAAAGCATGTCTCTTCGTGTATTAGAAATGGAARAGCAGGTAATCTTTATTCTGAAATTGCTACCCCAGTAAACAAACAGTAATACTTTAAAGAAGATTCTGGAGTGGGTGTTCTTTGCTTACTGAAGAGATTCATATTAAATAACTGAGCATATTAAGCCCTCCAGCAGAAACATATTCAGAAGATGTACACAGCAAGCATCTATTTAAGTTGAAATGCAGAAGTGAATACCTATTAGGTTTTTTTTTTCAATTTTAATAGGTAGCTTCCATGAAATTTAATTTCCCTTCAGACATCTTTTGCCTTCTATTTCCTAGGGTGAAAAAAGGACTTGAACAATATCTCTGTAATGGTGAGGAACTGCTGTTAGTGCCCTCAGCTGTCTGGGTGCACACTGCATGTCCTAATGTCTGGATTTGGATAAACTTTCCAAAGAAATGAGTGTGTGACCAACTCACACTGAGCTTTGGGGCCCCAGATCTTATCGTGACAAAGGGGAGTTCAGCAGCACCTGCCAGCAGTGGGTGACAATGGCTGAGATGGGGACACAGAGAGCTGAGGGACAGAACAGACATGGGGACAGAATCCATGGGGCAAGGCTGGGACTGAGCTGGGGACACAGAACAGTCACTGAGGAACAGAACAGTCACAGGGACAGAAACCACAGAGCAAGGGGGGCACTGAGCTGGGGACAAACAACTGAGGAACAGGACAGATATGGGGACAGAAACCACGGGGCAAGGCTGGCACTGAGCTGGGGACACAGAACAGTCACAGGGACAGAAACCACAGATCAAGGCTGGCACTGAGCTGGGGACACAGATAACTGAGGAACAGAACAGACATGGGGACAGAAACCACAGAGCAAGGCTGGCACTGAGCTGGGTCCAGCCAAGCTCCCCTTGCAGTTCTGTACTTAAGAAGGGCCTTTCTGAACCTCAGGAGTCATCCCAAGGCTCCTCCTGACTGTTCTGTCTGACCCTGTGTGTAAATAAAACATCCAAGAGCACTTTGTCCCCAAATTTCATCAAACCACGTTCACCATTGGATTTGGTTAATTCCTTAATTATATATCAATAAAATAAATTGTTCCTTTTCTGTTCTGGGTTCATTTCCCCAGCCCTCTCWCACCCTCCAGGAGGAGCAGTGCTTGTCCAACTACAACACAGAGGGGATAAAGGATTCACAAGTCCCCATGACTCGAGAACATGCATGTTCTCGAAGCACAGCAGATTTTCAGTGACAATCTTCATTACAGCACTGGAATATACCTTTGCAGGCTCAAGATCTCATTTCAGAACCCAAGCCTGTTCCTTTCTGGTTTCAACAGGTATTTTGGCTTTGGGTTATGTACAGAATGCAAGGAGGAAGAGAAGGAACTGATCCCTGAAATTTCTTGAAATCAGAGAATSCCACAAATGAGAACGAACTGCTGCCTGAAAATCCCTCCCATCTGRCATTCCTTAACATTCTCTATTTTCTTCTTCTGGATGTATTTTCTATTAATCAGCATGTAGAGCATTAATCCAGGGTAGCACCTTGAATCTTTTCACCATTTAGTTCAAAAGAGACCCAGATTTGCCTCCTTTTCTCACAGCCATCTTGCTCATATCAGAGGATCCACGCCTCAGTCATGCATAACTAATTTCAAATCTGATTTAGCATCAAGTCCCAGAATTAAGAAGCTAAGTGACAGCTGTTTAATTAACTCCTTAAGCTGATTAGAAAGCATTACAGAAATCCCCCCAAGGAAGAGTTTATAACTGTCAAGAGAGCCTAAGGCCATGTTAATGCTTCTGTTTAAATTTAGTAAGCTTCTAAACCAATAAAGTCTAAATGCTTGACATTCTCATGGATATGGTCAAACTCAGCTTTTTTTTCCTCCTGCTACCACTGCAAGGGTGGGAAGAAAAAGCAGGGAGAGGGGAGGGATTTGAGCAGCTGAACAATGAACAGAGCAGCCCCTCTTTACAGAGCTGGGTCTGTGACACCCAGCCCTCRCTAAACCAGGATTAACTCTGAGCTGGGGCAGAGCTGAGCTTGCACCTTAAATGCAGAGTCATCTCCCAAAGTGTGCCTGCGAGTCAAAAGGGTCTGTTCATTGCTTCTCAAAAGCTTAATCCACCTTTAATGATAAGATTACGGCGGCTGCAGTACAAGTTTTAGGAGCAGCTGGCGGGGGGAGATACAAGGTGCTGCAGAGAAACCAAAATTGCTCCACATTTCCTCGCCTGAGCTGCATTATTGCCAGCTCTGGGCTTGCAAACAGCATGAAATACATAAAATGTAATTCTGATTTCTTTATTCCTCCTGGGATTTCCAAATTCTTTAGGATGCACTGGAAAAACATTGAAAAATTKGCTGCAACTCTTCTGTGGCCAAAAAAAACCCAAAGGAACAGTGGCCAGAAACAACACAAATTAATTTGTCAGACCTTTAACATAAACAGAAGAGTAGAAAGTACAAGTTGAAATACAGCAAGTATGAGAAATGATGGCGAAAGCTGAATGCAAAAATGTGAAAAGACTGCCATGAAGTTCAAGGTGAAATGTTTGGTTTGACGTGGGCACCTTTCATCACGCAGGATGAAATCTGAATTCTCAG